CTAAAGGAATATTAAGCCCTCATGCTTCAGTGCATAAGACAACTGCTAACTGATGGAAGTTAAATGCAGCCGTATCCTTTGTGTGACATTCGTTGCATAAATGTCAGCCATAAAGTTTTTTGTACCTTCTTTGGAAACATTTGGGACTTGCCTGTTCTCAAGTTTATACAGCTGAAACAGTTGTCTCTACTGCACTTAAAGAAATAGCTTCTTTATAAGCTACTAGGTCTAATATTTCATTATTAAAAGAAACAGACATTACTTTTTGTAATTTGATATAATGCTAATATTTGCACAAAGGAAAAATGATTGAACTAGAATTTCCTCAAATGGGACTTCCAAATTTTCTCACTTCCACATTAATACCTCTAAAATCTCTGCCAACAACAGAAAGTTTCCTGTTCTCTTTCTGCCAACAACAGAAAGTTTCCTGTTCTCTTGCTTATATGTACTGTAACAAATAATTAAGGAAAACAGTTATTTATGAAATCTGAGACCACAGAAACATACAGTAAAACGTTCATAACAATTAAAGCATATGCTTAAAATTACATAATGTCCATGGGATGATTTTGATATAAGAAAGATGGGAAATTTTGCCCATATCCACCTGGATATTCAACTCCCAGATCATTTATTTAAATTCTGCCAGGGTTTATCAGGATACAGCACAAGTAAGACTGGTTATAACAAACAACGTATACAGATTCTGATTTTAGTCAATTAGTTTTTGCAGTGTGAATTTAATCTACATTGCCCCCAAAATTTCTAAAATAAAATTTCAAAAGAGATGCAGCTCAGCTCTAATCATATTAGACCATCACAAGCTTAATAAAGGAATGTGTAGTATTGTTTTTAGAAATTTAGATTTTATGGACTATAAAATTCTGTGGATACAAGAATTTAATTCTTGTGTATTCTTGTGAACACACAACTGGGTTTCCTGGAGCCTATAACTTTGGCCTTAAATAATGTAATACAGATGAGACAAGATTTCCAAATCTATTAGAATAGTCCTGCTTCAATTCCATCTTTAAAATTACATCATTTTGTGGAATTTCAGAGACCAAGCTTCTCTATGTTATCCTTGTTGTATGAAATAGATCCCCACAAAGGCTGTGTGGCCCTGTTTCTGTTGTCATCTAAGTAAGTCTTACAAATACAGTTGTTTTCAAAAATTCTTTGGACAGGTTGACCCTATATTATTACAGGAATATTTTTTTTCTTGCTGTTCTTGGTTTTCCCTTCCCCAGTATAGTAACATAGAACTCTATACTACTTTCAACAGCTTTTAATCTCAATAAGCAGATCAAATAACATTATTATCATTGTACTTTTATTATGGGGGTGCAATGAACTTGTCAGCTGGAAAGCTGACAGCCTGGGTTCAAGACCTGAGTGCCGCATATTGGGGAACTCCTGTTCCTTGCTCCAACTCCTCCCCAACTGGAAGTTTGAAAGCATGAAAATGATCAATAGGTACAATTTTGGTGGTTAGGTAACAGTGTTCCGTGCAGATTTGGCATATGCTGGCCACATGACCAGCAGACAATGCTAGCTCCCGCAGTCAAGAAACAGAGATGAGCATTGCGCCCTAGAGTCAGACGCAACTGGACAGGGAAACATTTCTCTTTACCTTTACTTTTATGTTATATATTTGTAAATTTCTAGAGCATGACTTGAGAGATAATATATAAATTTCATAAATACTTAAATAAATGATTTGGCTAAATTGAAAAAAAATGGATCACGACATTTTGTTTCAGAATTTTTAAATGTTTCAATAATTTTTAAAAGGTATTGACAAACTTATATTATATATATCATGCTGTTTATTATATATATATATATATATATATATATTCATATTCTCACACAACTGGCTTTGTAAGCTTCTTGCAAGTATTAAGAAAAATCCACAAAATATTATTTATTCATAATATTGTTTTCATTTCTAGAAATACATATGATTTATTGGCTATCTCTCTTGTCTTATGTAAGCCAATGTACTGGTTCCATCATGCTGGGTATCAATTTGCATTAATTATCACTTTTAGAAATACAGTGAATTATCATGTGGGACAGAAGGCACATACAGTGTACCAGGGTATTACTCTGTTCCATCTGCCATGTCAATCATGCAATATCTGATTTTGAACTGGGTTTATATTCAGGAATTGGCATTTTCTTGTTTTCTGCATGCATTATATTTAATATAAACTTTGTCTTTATTTTAAATGCCAATATAATGTATCTCCCCCCCACAACACTGGCAGATTCTGTAAATGCAGTCCACTCATAATCAGTTATACACATGATACCCAGTTTATTTTCAAGGATAATTGGGGGAGATGAACCTGCAATAACCTGCAATTCTCAAGCCATGAAACTTTATAGTAATTTCTCACAATCAAAATTGTTCAATCTAAATGAAGACCACAAAATTTTAACTTGCCCTTGAAGCTGGTCAGAATGCTCCATAAAAATATATTCCTGGAAATGTTCATTGAAAGAACCAAATATTATGCAAAACAATTGCAATGGATAGGCTTTGGATAGGTGCCTTTCTTTCTGTACTGATATCTGCCCTGTGTGGATGTTACAGATGAATATGTGAAGGAAATGGCTTCATTCCTCCTGAAGAAACAAACAAACAAACAAAATCAGAGAGCCGGTAAAAAAAACACCACACACACAAGAATCAATATTAGAACATTGTAAAGATGCTAAACATGAAATCAAACAAGAAAAGTATTTCAAGACATCTCTCAAGTGGGTTTTCTGAAGATTCCCAGTTGGCAAATGAGAGGAAGCTTTTTTATTTTACAGGAAGAAGAGGGAGATCGAGCCTCCCCCTTGCAACATCTTCACCTGAGGGCATTGCTGACAGCTGCTTCCTGCGGCTCAGGAGGTCCGTGCTCTTCCCGCTGCTGCTCGGCCTTCTTGATGGGCTAAGGCAGGATGCAGCAGCCACAACATGGGTTTGCTAGGGAGACTGCAGGATTGCCCCATCTCCCCGCCAGCCATCTGGTCTTCAGTATGCTGCGGCCCACCAAAATTTTCTCACGGACCACCAGTGGGCTGCAGCCCACCAGTTGGCTTTCACTGGGCTAGAAGACCACCAAGATCCCTCCCAACTCTGTTATTCTGTTAAAAACATGCCATAGACTAGTACTTAGTATAGTATCAATGAAGTCCTTAGAAAAGTTAATCAGATGCTGGGATATGTCTACATATACAAAGATCAGAATCATGCAAGCAACGGCTTTCCTGTTACACCCTCTGGAAGCAATATTTGGACTTTCAAGAAGCAGAGTAATCTGTATTTCAAGTAAACATAATAAAGTGCACATCTGCAACTATGTATAGTTTGTTAGTTACTCTGAACATAATTAAAAAATAAATAAATAAAAAGATTACTGTGATACTTAATCTCATACCATTTCAACAATTGCATTGCAGGCTATGAAGTGCACTCATAGGCTATGAAGTGCAGGCTATGAAGTGCTCCATATTTGTTTTAAAGACAATTCTTGCAAATAATAATAATAATGACTGAGAACATCTTGTAAGTTCCACATAGAGACTGCCAGTAATTAGAAAATTCTAATGCATGGAATTATTAAGCATATTCCTAAAGCAGTGGGATATTCAAGAGAGTTGCAGTAGGTCGTCTTAAATGATAGTTGGATTCATATTGAAGCAGATGCTCCACTCTTTCTCACTTCATAATCATTGGGAGGGGGTATAATATAAGGGAACGATCAGTTGGAAGTATATTTAACCTTGTGGCCCCAGTTTCTTCATACAAAAATCACAGGATGTGGTCAAATATTTTCTGCAGCCTAATTATAAAAATATTAGCCATTGGGTAAAAGGTCATTTGTATAAGAGAGGGATAAGCACCTCCCATTCCCTAATTACAAATTACTCCCTACAATTATGTAAATAAACTTGTTTTATTTATCTCAGTAAATTAATTTTCCTTAATAATGCAGTTACTGAGAAAAATGCCCACATCATATTGAAAGAATAGTATTTATTTATTTAAAGGTTTTATATGACCACCCAATAAGAGTACAATCACGACTTGATCATCCATCAGCATCATGCTATTATCCAAAATGATAATTGTTTCCATTTTGGTTTGATGCTGAATTGTTAATTTTCAGATTCTTGAAAGTCTCATGTATACTAAAAAAAAATAGTAATTTTCTGTCAAATGAATGCACATATTTGCATTTTCAATAGAATACAGATTAACAATAGATTCTGAGTCATTATGTGGAAATTTAATATAGATTCTGAATATAAACAGCAATGTAACATGAACATGGCTATGGTTGTTAATGGCTTGTTTTAGCTGGAAGCTATAAAATCATCTAAGGACTCTGTTGGTGTTGGAATAATAATTTACCTATACAATTACCACATAGTGGATTTTTTCACTCTAATTCTGTGTTATTAATAATGAATAAAATTGCAATTTTCTCAGGTTGCTTGGGGCAATGGGGAATTAGTTCAATGAATATTTCAGTGCATTATTTTAATCATAACTCCACAGATTTCAAGAGCCAGTTTTTTATACTTTTAAGTTTACTCTTCTAAAGGATTGTAGTGATTAAAGTGAAAAATATTTGCTCTTAAGTCTACTCTATGATTTACAATTCTTTTTAAAAACACTAAAAAACAAGCAAGTTGTATCATTAATACTTGTAATTTGATACTGCATTTGTTAATGGGCTTCCTCTGATTAATGGGGTTTTTTTTAGTAGGCAAAATATTCTGAGACAGGGAGGCAGAATCTGTGAATATTTAAATGAAAGCAAAGAAGTTATTGAATATTCTTATTTTAAGAATTCATATATTTGTTGTAGTTAGTTTGTAATCACTGAAACAAACACATACTTTATAATACTTTTATTTTTTCCTAATCAATGGTACAGAATTTACATGTAGATGCTGATTACTTTGTTTGATTTTTTTTTTAAATCCCTTAGCCAACTGCATGATTTTTGGCGCTTAGATTACTGGGAAGATGATCTTCGCCGGCGGAGGCGGTTTGTTCGCAATGCTTTTGGTTCCACCCATTCTGATGCGTTGCTCAAAGCTGCTGGAGAATATGGTCAGTATCACTGTAACATTCCTATTGTCCTAAATGCAGTTAGAATTGTTATTAGACTCTGTTTGAATGAAATCTGTCCATGTTTATTATAGTATTTTCTATTTTTTTACATTTAGCATTTACCTTGTATAGCTAAATACATTTCAATACAGTTAACAGTAGTTTTCAAGCATGTCCACTTTATATTATATTTAAATACAAACAGGATTGGGGACATTGGAATAAGGTATACCCATAAATGAAAAACTGTAAATACAGTAATAATCCTGTTAGTTTTAGAAAAAATATGGTTCATTGAATCCAAAGAAAGAGGTAGGCTATTTTTCTGACAAGGTTAATATAAAAGAACTTTCACATTTCTCAATGTTATAAGTCTCTTTCATTTTAGAGAATACAGAGGCAAGCCCATTCTTGGAAGGTAAAAACTGAGAATAAGATAACCTTTCTGAAAAATACTCTGCTCTTAAATGTATTTCTTATTGTACAGTTAGAGAGAGAGACTTATTGCACTGCTTAAAGCTGGCAGTGTGTATGGAGAATTATATGTATATATAAAAACTTTCATTGTCAGAGTGAGCTATTAAATTTGCAAATAGCAAATCACCTATCATAGATGTAATGTCAAATTTAAATGAAAGAATTTATAATCTCATTGAATTTATTGGAAATGTAAACTATTCCAGAAATTTATTCCACAGTACTAATATCTGTGGTTTGGTTGAATTATGTAAATTTCGTAATTTAGTAATTTTATATACTCTGATCTCTGTTTAATATGATTTAACTTTATAAAAATGATTAAAAGTTAGAAACTGCAGAAAAGAGAAAAAGTCCCGTAATAGAACAAAAATATGAAAAAGAACAAAGAAACTGTTTGGTAATTATATGCCTAATAATAGAAATCCTTGTTTATGTGCCACAGTATAATTCTTATCAATTTTCATTTTGCTTTTAATGAAAATGGTTCCTACTGAGGTGTGTCAGACTGAATTTCATAGAACTCATGTTTGAGTAGCATATAGGATTGCATAATTATAATTCTTGGAAGCTGCTACATTCAAAGCCTTTCTCTGACCTCTGTAGTATGGTTCGTGTTATTTTCAGATCCCTTTGTTTCAGCTAACTCTTTTTTGAAAATATAATTGAAACAATGCTGCTTCAGACTTGTTTAGAATAATAAAAATATTTTAAAGGTTTTATATAGCATATTCTTAGATTTTATGACACTGCTTCTTTATTATGCCATGTATTATGTCAGATTGTTCTGTGTACTTCAATGATACATCATTGGCTGGCAGCAATTTTCCATACTTTCATTCAGGAATTGTTGATGATATTAGAATATGAACCCTATAGCATTTGACTTGCAAAGCTGTATTTTTCACTAATCTTGGTATGTCTTCAACCAAGAAGTCTGAAAATAAAATTGTGTTACAGGCAGGGGTGGGATTCAAAATTTTTAACAACCAGTTCTGTGGGCGTGGCTTAGGTGGTGGGCATGGCTTGGTGGTCATGTGACTGGGTGGGCATGGCTTGGTGGTCATGTTATTGGCTGGGCGTGGCCAAGTCAATATCACTCACATCGAAGCACGCCTCTCCTCGTCTGGTCTCTCATGACTGTGGAGATGCTGCAACAGTCGTAAGTGTGAAAAATGGTCATAAGTCACTTTTTCAAGGTGCCATTGTAACTTTGAATGGTCACTCCACACAAGCAAAGTACCAACAAAGGAGGGGAAAAAAACTCTAGAGAAGTTCCTAAGACAGGAAGTCTAGTCCTGCCCAGAATGTAATAAGGATTAACAGAGAGGCGTAAGCAACACCAGAATGTTTCCTTCCTGCCTTCCTTACAGGATTAGGCCAGTAATTTATTCTAACAACCGGTTCTCTGAACTGCTTAGAATGTTAACAAGCGGTTCTAGCGAATAGGTGCAAACTGGTAAAATCCCACCCCTGGTTACAGGTCATCCTAAGACAACCGCTATTTTATTTTAGTTCATATCATTGCTATTTCTCTAATTTATGTTGAAGAACAAGAGGGAATGGATGCCATAGGAAAAAAAATAGGACATTTTTTTTAAAAAAGTAATTTTGGATTAGTTTAAAGTACAGCATTGGTATAGACAATATAGGTACATTCTGCTGTTCTTAGCCCCTTTTCCCTTGGCCCTTATAGCAATGTCTTTATTAAGGATTGCTACATGAGAGAGATTTTAACTTCCCTTCTCCAGTGAACTAGACTGTGTCTTCTCTGGTGTGTGTATATGTACATATGTGTATGCTCCTTTGTATGAATAGCCAAGTCTGACCCATCATGCCATGACAATTAAAAAGGGCTCTCTTAATACAAATTGCTGTCATATGCCATGTCTAGGTTACCACAATCAGTCTTGCTTACTTGTAGTCTGAAACTAACAGAGGGCAAGAGCAATAAGCCACAGTAAAGTACAGTACATTCACAAAGTGCCAAAAACCCTAAATGAGAGAACTGTTTGTTATTGTGCTTAAAAGGATTTTTTTTTTAAAAAAAGACCATGATCTAGCTTAATCATGAAAATTTCATACAGATTGGCCATATATATTTCTCCTCATACGTTTACTTCCCATGATACCTTGTATGTAGATAGTGTCATTACTGTTTATATTACAAATCACAGTGGAAAGATGTTATCTTTTTCAGTTTTAAAGTACTTTTTTTTCTAAAGCTTTCAGTATCAAAATTAAGAACAGTCTTCCAGAAGAATTTAAAACAGCTTTCACTGAGATTAAGTCCAGAGAATTTTTACCTTGATTGGAGGGAGGAGGTGTAGTTTGGAGGCTTGTACTTACGGATTTTAATATTAAAACTTTTACTTGACCCAACTGTATAAGAAAACATCCTTAACACTGATGTTATTTTTATACCTCCTGGTGATACTAATGAGTTGAATAATTTATGAGGTTGTCATGTAAAAAGGATTTGGTGCGGTATGATGTATTTTCAACCTCTGGTGCTGGAATGTGATTAATAAAGAGCTGGAGGCACAGTGTTTTTTTTTCCCGGGGGGGCTTAACTTTCATTAGGGATTTTTCGTCAGTTTTATTTTGATCATTTTATATCTCTTTTTTATTACCAGAATCACACATAAGAAGTTCTATAGATAAAGCCATTGATTTTTGTTATGTAAAGTTGCAAGTTACATAAGGTAATTCACTGTCCAGAAATATCTTCTTACTAGAAACAACAAAAGAAAAAAAATGAATTATATGATGAGTGAAGGCTTTTTTAAATTTTATTTTGAAAATAGTAGCATAAATACTGCTTTAAGCTTCTGTATAGAACAGACTGACAGTTATCATTGGGGAGGATGGAGTTGTGATTAAATATCACAGCCAAGAAACGTTTAGTCAGAGACTAAGTCAGCAAGCTCATCTGGGTCTGTGATCAAAGGCGTCAGCTTAAATAGGTCTGATCAGGCATTGCAGACGAGGGCAGGCAGCCTCAGCTGAGTAAAAAATCACAGAGCAAAGATGACAAAATTAATCAGTCAATTCTTTGGCAATAAATAACAAGATATGCTGAGGTCTGTAGATGAGAGAATTTCTAGCTTCTTGGGAGATGCATCTACTTAATGCCTGATTTATCTAAGCTTGCATAGCCATCAAGACATGACCTTGATGAATAAAAGAGCACTCTCTAACTAATCTAGACTTAAATCAGTATTGATCATGAACACATGGTATATAATAGTAATATGATACTAACTGGTCAAGGAATACAGGAGTTTTTGGAAATAACATTTCTCTCTATGGATTGCTCAATGGAGGAATAACATGTATTACTAAAGAGGTAAAACATTAAAATGTAGTGAAAATGTTTAAGATAATTTGAGAACTTGAGAACTAAACAGTATTAGGTTTATTCATTTTCATCCAACTATTTGAAATTTCAGTTGTTTGTATAACATATTTTGTACAGAATGTTTTTTAAAGTAGCATTCCACATTCAATTCTCTTCATTGTACTGTATTTCATATTACAGTTTCTATAGTAGTTTTGTTAATTAAACAATTTTGTTATTGCCACAGGCAGTTTACAAAATCATCCTGAACCATATAGAGAACTGTTTATATATATAACCAGCTGAGTGATTGCTTGACCAAGCTTAACATGAAGCCCATACAAATCTCAAAGCATGCAAATCCAGACTCACAAATTTCTTTAAAACTCAAATGTTTGGAAAGAAAATTTGCAGTGTTGCCTTTTCGATACAAATACATGCTTTTAAAGGTTTTGTTTTGTGCACTGGGATAGAAGAATTAGATGGAATGGCTGAATTGAGGTCGCAGAGACACCTCTAAAACAATTAGAGACTTTGTTACTCAATACGCCAATCCAAATTCTGACTCTGGATGCTCATCTTCGCATCTGTTTGTAAACTAATGAAATAAATCATTTCCATTAACTAGGATTGGAATGGGAAAAAACTGTTCCAAGGATGAAAGTGGAAGGCAGTCCCCTGCTGGTCCTTACCAATTTATCCATTGGAGATGTTGTTCTAGATTCTCTTTTTTAAAATGCTTTGTCTTCAAAAGGCTTCTAGGTTTCATCAGTCTTGTCTATTTTTCAATCTAATAAGGATGTTCTTACAGGAGGCAATGAAAATGAGAAAACCATGTAAACCTGCTTCGCTTAAAAACCTTCCTATTATTTGTTTTTGTTTGCAGGTTTCTTTGGGTTTGGATTTTATATTGTATTGGTGTGACTAAGTACCAAATAGAAAAGTGATAACTGGGAGGGGCGGGGGGGGGGGGAATATTGTGGGAGTCTGTAAAAGTACCTTCCTCCCTTAAGTTTGAAATAATCTAAGTTAATATTTACAGTTAACATTTTCCTTAAAATAAATTTTATCATTATTTCCAAATAATTTTTTTTATTGTATTATGTTGTGATTGCATAATTTGCAAATGTATTATAATTGGCTATTACATAGTCAATAGCATATTTTGGGTTATTTTGGAATA